TTTCACTCATCCTTCTTTAGAACTTCTGCCTGATTTTGTTAACAGACTTTGTGCTAAAATTAAAAAGCAAAATGGTCTGAACTGGACATGACTCTCTGTTTTCAAGAGACACCAATGCATTTCTCCGTAAGATAATTTCCAAGATGTAAGCATTTCGAAGAAAAAAAACTTGAACTAAATCAATTATATGATTGAAACTGATGGCTGCCTTAAAACCAGAGAAGGTTGCTCACTCTCAGAGCAGCTCTAAGACTAAAATAAGTCAAAAATCAGAAACCAATGCATTCTGCTAAAAGAGCCAAAGGGAGAATTTATCTGTCTTGTATCTAAACTGTGGAAAGGAATTTATATTTTTCCTCATAAGTAGAGAGAGTGAAACAAACGTTACTTGAACTAGCAATTAACGATATCATAATGAAGAATTCCAACAAATATTAAGGAATCACACAGAGCACTAAATTACTAAAATAGCTGAAATGGCTAATTAAAGATTATATCATTTCAGAAAACAGCTGATGCATGTGAAGTTTACTGTGCTGTGCAGAATATTTAAAGATATAGCAAAAGACTGCTTTGCAGGAAGAATGAGACAAAAATAGAAATACCTAAATTTTAAGAGTAGATTTTTAAATTAAAAGTATTTCCAAATGAAAAATTAAAAGTATTTCCATTTGACTGGCATCAGATTTGCAGAAACAGTCTTCTCTTTGGAATGAAGTCTCAAATATTTCAGGCTAAGCAAGCCAGAGTTTAAAATAAGACTTTACTGTGCAAAAGTGGTCGACTCTAACACTGAAACTCATTTTCCTTTTCATTTATTTTGTTAGAAGGAGTTTCAGTAATTGTTCCTATTTTCTGACTGTGAATGTGTTCCTAGAATGGCCTTATCAAAGACGAACAAGAACTGTACACAATGGCACATCTAGAAACTTTATCCTTTCCTGTCATCTGCCACAGTGCTTCTCATTTTGTTATTCTATTATAGAGTATCACATGAGAAGGCTGATATTGTTAATACGTGAGTATCTTACAGTGTCATTCAAATAAAGTTTACAGGAAAGCTCTAGTGTTCGCTACTTCATTCTGACAGATTGAGGAATCTCTGTAGGGCTGAGATGCCTTTGTGATTATTTTTGTACCCAAGAACTATAAGCATTTATGTGACCACAAAAACTTAATCAGAAGTAGAAAATCAGAAGCTGTTCATGGTAAACCAAGGCACTCTCCTGGAATTACATAAATCACCACACTCTCCTGCATTCTCTCTGACAGCCTTTGGTGGAAAGAATTTCCTTGTGGAAGTATCACTTCTTGTTCTCTTACATGAAAATATTTTAAACAGTAGGAATGTAAGTCATGTTTATTGAAAACTGTCCAATTCACATGAAATTTTACAGATTCGCCACTTTCAGTACATCAGCTTCTGTGTATCACTCACCAGCCTTCTTTATCACAGCATCATTTACTGTTCAGGACTAACTGCATTGTCATTGTGTCGAAGTGACGCAGAACGCTACTTGTCGCCAGACAATGCTTCACCTTCCCACACTCTGTATTCTCACACAGGCAGGAATTTATCTGAAAACATCTTAATAAAACCTCCTTTCAAGGAGAAAAAAAAAAGAGGAAAGGCAGAAGACCTAGTTTTACTGCAGTGCCAGTGCCAGTCCTTCCAATACATTTATACAGCAGATATCAAAGACAAGCTACATTCTCTCTGTCAGAAATCCCTTGTTTTCCTGTTACTTTTTTCTCAAGCAAAATTTGTACAATTCACTTTTAGTTACAAACTTTGATTTTCAGATCTGTGCAGCAGGACGCCTTTTGGTCTTCCATGTAACCAATCTCTCCCAACAAGGGAGGGTTTTCAACAAAAGGATAATTATTTTGTAACTGTTTTCAAGATGTATTTCTGTGATGTGTTCCCAACACACACCTTCCTAAATAAGAGCACAAGCAAGTCTTCCCAAGACACCACATTTCTCCACTGGAAACTTGTGAAAGACATAACTATGTAACTTAAATGCCATAGGCGCAAACTATTTATAATAGTACTGTGATACACAGTATAGAGGTATCTTTGCCAAATGAACTCCCTAGGAGTCATATAGGAATGAATATTTTTGCTATTTTCTGAGCATTGCAAGAACACATACACTCACAAAAGAATAAAACTTATAATAAAAATAAACCATTATGTTTTAAATCTAACCAACATTTATGCTGTGATATCATGAGTTTGTTCTCAGGCATTTTGTTAATTGGAAATAAGGAGTTCGTTCAGTAGGTCAATTCTTTGCCGCCAGTATTTAATCGAAGTGTCAGTAATAGCACCTCCATAGATTTATACAGATGCACCAGAATAATTACTTGTGATTAGACTGATTGAGAATTAGCTATCTGCCTTTTCTAAAGCAGTTCTTTTGTGGCTTCGTTTGAGAATGTTTAGGTTAAGATTTCCAAAGATTTCTGTGTGTAGATATTGAGACAGAGTGAAAATTTAACAGGGTCGAAATCTATTTAGATTTAAGTAAAATGTGCCAATTTAAGCTTGCTAAATATGCTGTTTAGTCTAGTAACTGCAGCACTAGCAAAACTACCCCAGCTAAAGAAAAAGAATGCAAATTTCCACACTAAAAAATAAGAAATAAGAAAGACTCCTCAGACCTTAAAACAGACAGAGCAGAGTGACCCAAGAGTTCTTTCTATACTTTCTGACAAAAACTAAGTACAAGTATAACTACCTATAAGTATAATGTAAAATCAACAGAATAAATATGCATGAAGCTATTGTAAAATTCTATGCATATAAAAATCAGTAAAAATAATAAAAAAACCCCAGAAGTTCTCAAAGGTATGCATGTCCATTAAAAAGCAATAAGTCCCAACATGCGTCCACAGCACTATAAATAAGCATACCATTCCCTACAAATCTTTATTAAAATTATAAAGTTTAATTTTTCATCCACACTTCAATATGTATCTTAATAAAAGAAAATCAGATAAAGTGAGCTGAGTTCTTCATATACATATATACATACGTATATTATACTGCAGACTGTACTGAGCCTAGTGACATTGCACTCCAACAAAGTTATTCACACATATACATAATTTGCAGGTTTAAATTTAAGAGACTGATTCAGAATTAACTGGGAAAAGTATGGGGGTTTTCTCCCCCTTTCTGAAAGCAGCTCTTTTTTGCTTTACCACAAGAACATTATGCTATTGCCTCTGCAGATGCTACCACAATTGTAATTGCCTGTTATGCAGTGGAGAAATCTAATTAAAACCACTTATTTGCACCTATTAACCAGTCTCTTTAAATTCAGACAAAAGACCTTACCACAAGCTAAAACATAAGTACAGAGTGTGGTCTGCAATTCAGTAAGAAAAACAATGTGAGTTTTCAGATAATTACACTTACCTCCATTGGCTATTACCAATTAGCATTTACCATGAACTTCAATGACTATGTAAATCACTACACCTGGCCACTAATCCAGACAAACTCAGACTGCTAGTAGGACATTGGATAATGCATTTCATCTTTTACATGCTTAAAATGGTGACTCTTTTTTTTTTTTGAGATTTTTTTTTTGTTTTAAATTTCTTATTGTATCATGGTTTAGAGGTGCAACATACAACAATTATAAAAAATGTTTTATAAACCGCAAGAAATAACTTGCAGTTTTATCAAGAAACACAGGAATCTTGAGCAGTTTGATAGATAAGAGCAGGATATTCCTTTACAACCTCCTTCATGATGACAATATTGTCTTTAGAACAACTAATATTTCAGTTATTTGACAGGGGAAAAAATCTATAGAAAGCTCTAATGTAAATAGCAGGCAGGGCACTAAACCAGAATGGCTTGATAAGTAGCCTACTACATGAGCTCATCTGGTAGTTTTCTGCACTTCCCTAAGGCAATGCCTTCACTGAAGTGCTTTGTTTCACACTGGGACAGGACTGGACAGGTGGAAGGGTTGTGCTGTGCACCAATTCAGTACTATTGCTATCACATCACTTCTTTCTTTAAGGAAACAGCACTGCTAGGTTGAACCCACTGAAGAACTGGTGCTTTTATCATTTCACATTTCCGTATTTAAGAAACAGGCCAATAATAAACTAAAAACTGTATCTTACAGCATGATAGACAGACTTCCTTAATTCATGGGCAGCTTTATGAACAGGATCTCTTTAGCCATTTTTTGTGCCACTTCTTCAGGGTTCCAGGCCACTCTCCTGCTCAGTGTGTACCCATCGCTCCCCCAGCTCTGCGTACGCCGCTGCTGAGCGCCCGTGCGCCCGTCTGGGCGAAGAGGCGATGCTCGGAGCTGGACTGAGCTCTTCATTACCTCAACAGGCACGCACACGGTCTGAGCTACCCTCAGCGACAGACACCTCCTCGGGGGCCACCGGGGCCACCGGGCACCGACCTGGCCTGCGCTGCACTCCCCGTCCGGCGGTCCCTGCCTGCCCCGCGCAGGGAAGCGCCACTCCCCATGAGGCGCCGGCATCCATCACGCACCCGCGCCCTCAGCGCTCACCTCGCGCACCGGGGCGCGGGTCAGCGCTCAGCATCACAGAACCAAGTAGGAAAAGACTCCAAGATCATGGAGTCCAGCCTACGAGCGAACTATGTCAACTAGACCAGCATTGAGTGGTCTTTCCTTAAAGACCTCCAGGCTCGGTGACTCCACCACCGCCTTGGGCAGCTCGTTCCAACGTCTAAAAGCTCTTCCCTCTTCCTGCGCAGAACGTCCCAGCAGGATGTCCCCTAGCGCAGGTTGGGAGCGGCTGAGACAGCGCCGGGCCCTACGCGGTACCTGCGCGGTGCGCGCAGCTCCCACCCACCCTCAGCGCGGAGCGGCCGCCGCGGCGCCGCCCCGTCCCGCCCAGCCGGCCGGGGGCGGGGATTGGGCGAGCCCGCCCGTCACTCTGCGGCGGCGGCGCGCAGCGATTGGTCGCTGGCGCTGTCAGTCATCGGCGGGACCGCGCCCGCCCCTTGTTGTCACGGCGCCGTGCGGGGCTGGGGCCGCTCTCGCCGCTGTTGTTGCCGCCGCCGCGGGAGCCCGGGCGGGGAACGGCTCCCCGGCCTCGCCATGGCCACCAGCACCACGGGCTCCACGCTGCTGCAGCCCCTCAGCAACGCCGTGCGCCTGCCCGTCGACCAGGTGAGGATGGGGAGGCGCCCGCCCCGCCGCCGCTCCCGCGAGCTCGCCGGGGAGGGACCGCACCGCGCCCCCGCTCCGCGCCGTCCTGCCCCGCCCGGCCCCCCGCGGCCCCTCCATCCCCCCGAGGGGCCGGGGCGGAGCGGGCATGGCCCGGGGCGGCGGATGGCCGCCGCTCCTCTCCGCACCCGCGGGCGGGGGGCGCCGGGGCGGCGGCCGCGCTTCGCGGGCAGGTGCGCCCGCCCCGGCTGGTCCAGCATCCCGCCCGCATCCACCCCGGTCCTGCCCGGCCCGGCCTCGCCCCAACTTGTTGGCATCGTCAGTCGGCCAGATGTGCAGCCGCAGCTGGGAACGGGGCCGGTATCAGTGCAAGGGATGCAAAGGTTGGGTTATAATTGCAAATGCAAAGCAGCGCGCTGTGCCTGGATGCGCCTGCCGGGGGGTTTACACGCGGTGTTAAATAATGTGCGCCGCACACAATGGTGCTGGGAATTCGTATGTGCTTTGTAGGCAGAGCGTTTCTGTGGTATCTATTGTCCAAGTGATATAAAAATTCCTGAAGGCTGTTAATCCTGGTATCTTCATAGAATATCAGAAGATTATAAAATAAGATTAGGAAACTGAGGTTTGCCGAGTTTAATCACTGAAGCTGGACCAGAATGTTTGTTTGTTGGGGGAAGTGGTCTAGACCTCCGAATCTACAGAATATTTATGTATTTAGGCATACTTAAGAAAAGTAATTGCCATATAAATTTTGTTGCACTAAGGAATTTCATGCTAGGAATTTTTATTTTTTTTAATGCTTCATTCATATACCTCTTAAGTGAAATACATCCAAGAAAACACTCTGTGCTTCAGTAGAGGGGGACTTTGATGGCTTGGTTTTGCAAAATACACCTGATAAGTGGGAGAAGTAACTGGAAATGAAACACGGAGGAAGGAGCATGCCTAGTGAAAGTATTTTGGAAGTTACTGAGTTACACGTTCTTCGTTTTTCTTCCCCCGTTCCCCAGCCACTTGTTTGAATGGAAGGATGGTTAAGGATATACACAAAAAAGTGCCATCTAGAAAACTGATGAAACAGGCAAGTTGAAATTGAGCTTGCTGGGATGGAATAGATACTGTGCACCCCTTGCAATGATACGTGTGGCTGGGATCAATGGCACTTCGTGGCTTGGTGCCTCACACCTGCAGGTGGTAAGCTGCTCTTGCCAGGTGCCATGTGGTTATTTCCATAAAATGTGCAGCTTCTATTGGATACTGTAAAACATGTCAGAGTTGACCATCTTTTTATGGCATGTTGGTGGTGTTTAATTTTATACTCATAATAGTAGTCATAAATTTAATTGTTTATGACAGGGTGTGACTACTGCCAAAATTTTCTTAATCCTGTGGGTACAACATTTTGATGATAATGGAATTACTTTATATCAAAGCCTGGAAAACTTCCCTGTGTTGAATGTTTTGCAACAGATGCTCCTCTAGGGCCAAGAAGTTTTTATAAAGTAGTACGCTTTGAGCTCTGTTGGAGCTTTTGGGAGTAATCAAATTGGAGGGTGGCTAGGCATGTAGTTTAGAAGGTTTGTTATAAGCAGTTGGAAGTTGGACATATGTTGTTTTTGGACATCAGTGGACTGTACATAATATAGGTCCAGTTCTGTATGAAGAGCAGTGATTGTGACAAGTATGAATGGAAGAGCTTCAAAATTTCGCTGGACTAAGGAGAACCTATCTATAAAAAACCTGATTTAAAAAAGGAAAGTTTTTTGCAATGTCAGCTCAAGATTCTATCTTGATAGTAAGTTTGTAATACAGAAAGAATGTGCATTGTGTTCAGTGTAATCAAATCAAAGGGAGTGAAGGAGATAATGAGGTCAGGGAAGAAAAAGAAAGTTCTGATATTCTTTGGTGTGTTTGCTCAGAGATTATGTGTGACATTTGGTGATACTATAAGCATATTCAGAATAAAAATGTAGCACTGCTTTGAAAAAATTATAGAAGAATGAAGGTTTTTTGTTTAGTACATTGTTTCTACTACTTGCTCCAAATCTGTACTATGACTACAGTCTTACCAATATAGCAGTTGCTTGAAATAGGCACTCTGGTATAATACCAGCACTCAGAACTGCTGGACATCAGTAGGGGGTTTTTTCTCCACTCAGTTTCAGTTTTGACCAGAAATAGATAGTAATCTTTATCCAAAATGTTGCTTAAATTGTGATTTAGGTTTAAGCTATTGCTACCTAATTATCCTGCTAAGGCACATAACTCTTGAAGACAAACTGAGGTAGCATGTGGCCATGTTGCCTTACTCTCTGGTGTTCAAACGAATGGAGAACCTTCCCTATTTGGCACTGCACGGAAGTAGAAATTTAAGTTCAAGGTGAAATTGTTATCTTTAAGATTAATCAATCAAATCCACATCTCTGTGTGAGAGAAATTGATTACTTTTTTACTTAATGCTTGGCAGAAGTAGAGGCAGAGATTTGAGAAGGGTGTTGGTTATGTGCTAGTTGGACATCTGTGCAATATGAAGGGTGAGCTCCATCAGAGCCATTTGACACAGCAGTCTTCTCTATGCGCCCAGCTGTGTTGCAAAAGAAAATCTTTGTTGGTTTAACCATTTGCTGGACATTTTTTCTTGGAACTAGAGTACTAGGTAGCTAAAGGAAGGGAGAAGAACTTGTTTTCTGTTCCTGTGTGTATCCCCAGATACCTGTGTTAACCTTTCCTTTGGCTCTCATTTTGTCTTGCACCAAACTAACCTAAAGGGCTACTTGGAAAAGCTAATGTGCTCTTTATAAGCTTCTTGGGCCAGTTTTTCTGTTATTTCCAGTCATTTGATGAAAGGGAAGATGCTCCGTGTCAGCAAAAACCTAGAGCAAACTTACCTTTCTTCTGTATTTTGTAGTAGGAAAAAATAAATCACTGCTTGGGATGAAAAGCCTCATAAAAATGGTTTCTTTTCACATATTGGAGAATGCAAATTGGCTGCTGAGGAAAGGAAGCATTCTGTCAACGGCTGTGGCACATTAGGTCCTTAAAGTTAATGAATGAGTGAATAAATATTAATGTACTTTGTATTCCTTGTGTCTTCTCAGAGGACAGGAGGAATAAAGGTGGCCATGTCCTTCCCAACTTGGACTACTTCCCAAGAGAAGTATGGGAAGGTTTACCATAAAATCTTGGCTGCTAGAGTATTACATGTAACATAATGCATTGAGGTTGCAACTTGAATTATTTTATTGCAGTTACATCTGTCACCTAACTGTATTTTCCCTGTCTGTTCTCATGTAATATTTATGGCTCTGCTTCTTTCTTCTTTCTCTGAGGTGAAGCCTGAGAAATAATATGTTGGACTTTGGTCTGTTTCCAATTCTATTACTACCTTGCTGATTTTCTGTTGACAAATGACTTACCTTGATGTGTCAGCTTACTTGTCATTAAATTGGAAAGACTTAAATTTGCTTTGACAATGATTCTAGGAGACCAAAGCTTTCTTTTTGGCTTTTTGGTCACTGTGGGGTTAGGGGAGTACAGAGAATAATCATTGCTTTCACTGCTTCCACCAGAGGGAGCAAAATTTTTTTATTAAAAATGTACAGAAATTGTAGGGGTTATTTCCGCCCTTCATTTGTTGTAGAAATTAATAATTTGCAGTAGAGGAATAGTTGAGCAGGGGAGATAGGAGACTGACTATGACAATAAGCGAACATCAACTTTTTATATGAGTTGTCTAAAAGATTGATCTTGAGATCCTGAAATGCGGTCTGAACTTCAGTGATTATCTTCTAGATAAGAAAAGGAACAATGTGGCCCCAACTACCAGCAGTATAGATGTATGAGGATATGTAGACAGAATAAAGTGTCATGCTTATGATTATGCACTTGACTTAAACTCCAGGATGTAAAATTAGGCAATGTTTTTTCAACAGAAAAAAAAAAAAAAGAAGAAAAAGTTCTGTGCTATTTCCACACTTTTTTTTTTTTTTTTTCCCCGCTCTGGTTTTACCTTTTTTTTGGTTAAGTTTGCTCATTTGGGTAGAATAAATACAATTTTCTATGTGAGTGCCATCAGTCTCCAAAGAATCTAAACTGACTTTTTTTATTAAGGATAGACATAAAAATCCAAGTCTTACTGAACATGAATTGCATAAACCACACAAACTTCATTCATTTAGTGATCATAAGCCAGCTTGCTGTACCTTTACATAATTTTCTGCATGCACTTCCTTGTGCAGAGGGTTATCCAAGTTGCTTTCCTCATGCCCTTAACACACTTGGTTCCACATAAAAGCACTGATGTATGTTAAGCCTGTGTTTCACCTTTAATCCCTCAAGGAGAGTGGGCAGGAATATTTTTTTCCTTGTATATAGCTATGAAATATTTATTTCTTACACGCATATGATGTAAGAAAGCTATTTAGCATTTTTTTTGTTTTTTTGATGCTTTGGAGGTGAGCACAGCTGTAGTTTGGGGAAAAGACAAGGCTTGTAGGTGGAGTAGGGAATTTTGCTGAGAAGCATTATGTGTCTTACTTGCCTGCAGGGTACATCTGAGTATGTCTTCTAGTGAGATCTGTTGTTTCATAAAATTTTGAGCATTAGTAGTGTCTTATCATCCCTTGTTTTCTGCCAAGGCAGCATAAAGTAGCCTCCTGAGGGCTGAAATGTTTTAGTCTGATAAAAACCTTTTTGTCTAAACGTGGAATGGATATCAAAATATTTGTCCTGTATAACTGTCCGGAATTTAGATGGACTAACATTTGACGGAAGCATTATCAAACTAGAAAAATGAATGAAGTGAAGAGTATCCCAGATTTCCTTCTTTCAACATTGATTCTTAGACCCTTGTTTAAGGGTCTGGTTGTGGAATCTTAGCAGCTTGTTACTGATTTTTCAGATAAGACCCAGGAAATTTATAAGTAGCCGCTGTGAGTAAAATTAGTATCCACGGGTGTGTAAAATGCAAACACTGAAGGCAAGGGAGTAGTAGGATAAAC